TTATTCTGCTTTACGGCATTCACTGCAATAGTCACCTCCTGGTTAACTATGCTAATGGTGAGGAGATATGGCAAAGGTCATTCCTAAATCCTTCCTAGTTCGTTCTGATATACATGACACATTGATCTGGACAACAGACATGGCTTTCCAATTAAGTTTTGCTTGGCTCTCTACTTTCAGTATATTTGTTTCTTTGTACTATATTACTTTCTGTTTACAATTTTGCATTTTTCTAGATGGGCTGTTGAAAGGGAGACAATGGTTTTGAGCCTGAGTAAAGTCAGCTCAGATGAGAAACTAGTTGTGGAAAATCTATACAACAGATAATTTGCAAGTCGGGAAGCAAAAGTTGACTATTTGGGGATCGGCTACCAAAATCATTTTAGCTCCTGGTACTCTGGATACAAATTCTCCTCCCAAGACACCAATGATGGCAAATAGATCAAAAACTTAACTGCGGGTCAGCAACACCATGACCAGTGAATGTGGGAATCTCCTGTCCTAGACAATAGCAAGACACCTTATTTAGCACATCATTGGCCTGATCCCTCTATTCTGATACCACTTAGTATTGCCAACGGGCCTAAAAGGGGATATGTTTGAGACTCTCCTCACTTAGAGCCAGAGCTCATTAAATATGTGCTATGTTTTTCAAAGCACCCAACTCGTGCCCTGGGATTAATTTATTTACCCATAAATAAAGTAACCATATTTTCTGTACCCCAGATTGGGCCATATGGTCTGATATGTATTAGCATATTTTTTTATGAAGATACTGTAAGAAATTGGGACTGCTATGGAAACAGAGAACCAAGTCAGAAATAAAACTCATATCACAGTCCTAATCTTAATTTACATTTCAGAAGTACACATTCCCATTTACTGCAAAAATAGCTCTGCTTCCTTCAATCTTGAACACAAACCATTCCATCAACCTTTCAAATAGAAATACTGATCCCCATACTAGAAAGTAGGATTGTCTTCTAACCTGTAACGGTTACATTGGCTTGGAAGACCCTGTGCTTTGAGTCAAACTTCTTTGCAGGCAGGAAAACCAAGAAGTACCTTTTGTCCACACCAAATGTCCCTTGCAGAATTCAGAATGACTTTTGGGTCAGGAAGATTTCCTGGAACAGGCCCCTTTGTCACTGAATGACAACCCGTAATCATTCTATACTGTATCAATAAAAAAAAAAATATAAAGAGGGATGTTACAGTCTGCATCGTGCACATGCGCACATCAAATGTTCACTGAAAAAGGTAAACTGAACCTAGGTGTATTTTCCACTTTGCCTAGGAATGGCGGCAATGTTATGGCTGAAAACGCATCAAAAACCTCAAAATCAACAACGGAGAACACCATTACTGAGTCTGTTGGGCTGTGGGGATACTACTGCTTATGATTTGAATGTAATCAAAAATAGCTTTCTGCTGGTTCATGTTGACTTTCTAGAAAATGGATATATATATATATACATATATATGTGTGTGTGTGTGTGTATATATATATATATCTATCTCATAGTACTTTCCATAGAAATGTCTTATTCATATAGAGGATTCTATTTCAACACATGCTTAATGAAAAGATTTTCACAAAGCTTCAGCGATCCTGTTTAAAACAAATTTGACAAGGAAAGCAGTAGCACTTGTGAAATACTACATGTGTTTGAGCATAAAATGAGTTCCCCAGCACAGGTCGGAACACTCTATTTACTGACAAGACTGTACTATAACAAAGCAAGAAATCAAAATGTTTACTTACCAACTTTCACCATATGTATTCAACTGGAGACTGAGTTATTTTTTTATTAAGGGAATCCCTTCCCTTTGGTTGTTAGAATAAAGAGCTTCAAAAGACACCCTATCCATTCAGCTTACATTCTAAAACCTCAATCTCAAACACCTGATTCTTGCATTTAACCCAACGGTGAGATTTTAAAGCTATTCTGCTCTTACAACTTAACTATAAAATCAAGGCTGGTATGACTTGAATTATCTAGAGAATATCAAGCTAGCCTGATACTTCCTTCAACATCGGAGAATTTTCGTGCTGGAAGGAATCAAGTGATAATGTAGCTCAACAGCCTGTTTTCACACTTAAAAAAAAAAACAAAAACAAAAACAAAACTAACTGGGAATCAAGAAGATGAAATGATGTGCCAATGTCGACGAGCTCGCTCTCCACTCCAAGACCAGCTATCATTCCTCTGGCACACACTAGCTCTCTTTCACAGAAGTTAAAAGGAAGAGTTCTCTCTTCTCCATAACTGTTATGTTTCCTTTTCAAACATTTGCAAAGAGAGAACAATATATCCACCCTTGAAAAGACTCTGATTAGGATGACCTTCAAATACTGTACTTTTGGTAACATGATCATCTGAAACGTAACTATAGCATCCCAGACCCCTGAAATTCAGTTTCTAAATGGGGCCACTTCTTTTTTTATCTTACAGCCAAATGTGCATGGTGGTCTCTGAGAAGATAGTTCCCTAAATCAGTTACAAATAGTCTCTGCAAGCATATTTCTCAGCATAAAATTTTACAAATGGTACTAAAGCACTTTGCCTGGCTTTGACTTAAAAAAAATGTTATCCACATTTTTCATCCACAGCTGCATTTCACACATTCTCTACCTTCACACATTCTCTACAAGAGAAGTGTTCCATACAAAAGTACCCTATACAAATCCTGAGGGCTTAAATGCTTTCTTCTTAGTGTGGAATCAAGATCCAGACATCCTAAAATAAATGCATCTTGAAAAAAAATACAAACAAACAAACACACATTAAGTGATAGCCTAACAATATTTGGTTCGGAAGCCCATGGTGATCATTTCTTGACCATGTGACTCTTTTAAGAAAACTATGTAAGATAAAGGAAAACCCCAGGATCTCAAAATGACTATATTTCTTGAATTCACAGAATTATCAGATCTAATACATCTCAGCCAAATTTATCATAACTTTCAGATTTAAAAAAGAGACGTTGTGGGACTATAATACCTTTTCCTTTCTAAACACAGCCAAATTGTCACTATTGCTATTATAGAATGTTCAATAAACATCCAATGCTGGAAAGCATTTAAACTATTTTAAGATAGAATCTGACCTAGTTGGGTACAGCCAAAGACACATGGTACCTTATTCACAGAGTCAACTTTTTACACCATGACACACCTGGGATCTTTCTCCCAAATGAAAAAACTGCAGTAATTATTCAATGATAGGCTGGCTATCTTAGATCTACATATATCCACTTCTTGTAAGGAGCTCAAAATTAAAAAAATTACCCATGATTTTTACAAGATCCTAATAAAGCAGATGTAACTCATGGGTTCTAAATCTCTTTCTCCCAAAGGAAGATTAAGCAATTTAGACACAACATCAGGCATTTATATGGAACTCGGCATTTCAGAGTTTTCACATGTTCGTATGTGCTTTCCATAACAACTCTGTGATGTAACAAAAGCTTCACTAGTGAGAAAATTGGGGTGCAGAGATTTATAGTGACTTTTTCAAATGAATAGTGACCCAACCCAGAGAGCCTACCTCCTAGTCTAATGCTTATCACATTTTTGCTCCATATCCAAAATATATTAAAATGCCATCTTTGAAGTCTTATTACAAGACTGCATCTCCTTGTTTTGTCACGTTCTATTGTCCACTAGAGATCTTTGGTCAGAGCATTCAATCAACTCCCCAGCTGGCTGCTTTCCATTCTCCAAATGGTATTCTTGAGAGGTGTTTTCCTTTAAGTGGTGGGGAAGGGGTAGGGAAAAGGGTGTAACTTTGCTTTTAAACCTAACATTAGATTTACTTGGAATTTCAAATATCATTGAAGAAGATTTATGTTATTATCAAATGATGACCAGGGACTTAAAAGCTTGAGAAAAGCTATTCTAGATCTTTTTTTTTTTTTTTAATATTCACAGTTGTCAGAGTTCATTATGTGCTACATAGTATACTTTTCCCAAACTTCAGGATAACCATTTTATAAAAAATAAATGTTGAAGAAACACTGGAGAATAAGGCCTCTTATATTAAATTTGCTCATTTATATCTCATTATGACTTAACAGTGCAGGTCTAATTGCTAGCTGTTACCTCACATTCTAGAACACCTTGTCATGAATTAAACACAGTTATGTGTGTCATAAGATCCGTTAACAAAAATGAAAATGATGGTGATATCGAAACCAAATGTTCTGACACAATTATTCCTTATACCAGTTTTAGCAAACAGAGTGCTAAGTTCTGAGGTGACTCCCCACACTATGCCTTTAGGTAGCTGCACAAAGAAATAAACTTAATAAATCTAGCATTTATGTTGCACATTTAATAGAAAGCTCTTAAGCCATAATCACTGTAGCTGCTGGCATCTTATTTCTTCAAGAATTCTTTCAGTGCATGCATTAACTTTGGTTAAATTATTCTGGATTTAAAAGGCAGAAGAATAATTAAAATAGGATGGTTTCAGAAGCATCATTGTAACAGTCCAATTTCAACAGATTCAGTTGCTAAATTTTACTTCATATTCCCTTTGCAAATCAGTTATTTAGATTTTAAAAACAGGGAATCATGTGCTGTTATCTGCGTGGCCATTAGTCTCACACAAAGAAAACAACTATAAAATAAGACTAAGAAATCATTCTTCCAATGATTGTCATTGAACTGTTACATTAGTAAACATTCACAGTAGGAAGTCTCTCTCAATCTCCAGCATATAAAGTAGTGCAAAGGAAAAAAAAAAAAAAAAAATTCCAGTCCTGTTATCTGTGAACAAAACTTGTTACATTTTCTCTAATTTCACTTCTTCCATATTGTTAGACATTTGCTGTCATATCTTCCCAAAATTAATAATAAAATATAATCAATTTCTAAAGGCCCCCGCAGCCTTTTTAAAAGTTAATTTCTAGTTAAAAATAAACTTTAATTAAATCCAAGATAAAATTGTGACCTATATTCTATTAAATAATTCACTTTCTTTTTTTTTCTACACAGTAATTCTTACAACTTTTTAAAAAAACAACCATGGAATCCAAAGACATGAGATGCTATCAAAGCACTAATAAATGACGGTTTGAATTCATTAGTTCTTACATAGTAAATACTTCAAAATGCCAACTTTTCCCATCATTACACAATTACTAACAATGCTGACAATTTACTTACACACACACACACACACACACACACACACAAATACACACATACACATTCTCTCCGTGGAACCATCTTTACTTTTAACATCTTTTTTCCAGTTAATGTGCAAAATTCTTGCATTCTAATAAAAAATATAAAGATAGATCTGCTCCTATTTTAGCCTCCCTCTTCTCCAAGATGTATCATTTATTTGATATGTAATACAAGGTAACAATTATGCCACGTATAACCATTAAATGGTGTACTACTATATGCATTAGGTTCGTTTGCATATTTCATTTTCGTAACTGCACTCTCTATGCATAAATATATTTGGAGTTACTGGGATTGGGGAGGGGGGGTAGTGGCGGGTGGAGAACAAGATTCACACATCGGTCTCCACAGCCTTTGCATTAGAACAGTTGTTTTTATCTGTCTCACTGTCATCCCCCTTTCCCTGACACTTCCCCTCCTTTGCACAGAGAGATTCCTTAACTCCTTCTTCCATCTCTAGATACTCTGACTTGTCCCCCAGGGAAGAAGAAGTAGAGCTCCGAAATTTCTTCAGCAAATTAGAAGGGAGGTATGGGCAACTGACTGCATTCTGTGTCAGCTGTGTCTGTTCCTCATTTTCAGTCTCTCTGTGGTAGAAATAGTTAAAGTTAGAGACAATCACTGGCACTGGCAAAGCAATGGTTAACACACCTGCAATGGCACACAGGGACCCCACGATCTTGCCCCCCACAGTGATGGGCTTCATGTCCCCATAGCCCACAGTTGTCATGGTCACCACAGCCCACCAAAATGCATCTGGGATGCTTTGGAAATGGGTAGTAGGTTCATCCGCCTCCGCAAAATACACAGCGCTGGAAAACAGGATGACCCCAATGAAGAGGAAGAAGATCAGAAGGCCCAGTTCCCGCATGCTGGCTCTGAGGGTGTGACCCAGGATCTGCAGGCCCTTGGAGTGCCTGGAGAGTTTGAAGATTCGGAATACTCGGACCAGACGAATGATCCTGAGAATGGCAAAGGACATGGCCTGCTGCTGCTGCCCGTTGCCACCCCCCTGTTGCTGGGCCAGATCGGTGCCCAGTGTGATGAAGTAAGGCAAAATGGAGACAATGTCAATGATGTTCATGATGTTTTTGAAGAAGAGCGCTTGGCTGGGACAAGCAAAGCAGCGAACCACAAACTCGAAGGAAAACCAAACAATACAGACTGTCTCCACGATGAAGAAGGGGTCGTTGAATATGGTGTGCCCTGAGTTCTCTAGGTGGGGTGCTGAAGTGTCATTCAACAACCCACTGTGTCCGCCTGCACTCAGTGCCATGATGAGATCCCTGTCGTCCCTAAACTCAGGTAAAGTTTCCAGGCAGAAAATGACAATGGAGATTAAGATGACCAGGACGGAGACGATGGCTATGCCCCTTGCTGGACTGGAGCTCTCTGGATACTCAAAGAGAAGCCAAATCTGCTTTTTGAATTCATTCTCTGGCAAGGCCCTGTCCTCCTCCTCTCTCACAAAGCCCTCATCCTCCCGAAACTTGAGCAGGGCCTCTTCTCCCAACTGGTAGAACTTCACCTCCTCCGTGAAGATATCAAAGGGGACATTGACTGGCCTCTTGAGGCGGCCTCCTGATTGGTAGTAATATAAGATGGCATCAAAGCTAGGCCTGTTCCTGTCAAAAAAATACTCATTACGCAAAGGGTCAAAGTACTGAGTCCTCTTCTCAGGGTCTCCCAACAAAGTCTCTGGAAACTGGGCCAGAGTCTTCATCTGGGTTTCAAAGCGCAGGCCTGATACATTTATCACCACACGTTCACAGCAGTCGCTGTAGCGGACTGAACTATAGCCACCACCGCCCCCGTCATCCTGAGGCAGCAGGTCCGTGTAGGAACATTCGTCACCATGGTCATCTTCACTATAGTAAAACCTTCCCTCCTCTTCCTCCTCCTCCTCCTCTTCTTCCTCTTCCTCTTCCTCGCTCAGCTCCCTCAGGATCTTCTCCTCAGAGCCACTGGGCATCAGGTCAGAGCAATGAGGAAAGCTGCTCTGACGGTGGTGGGCTTTCTTCTTCTCAGGCCACTGGCGCCTCCTCCTCCGACTCCCCCGGCCACCCTGAGGGTCATGGGAGGTGCAGGCCCCACGCGACTGGTGGTGGTGGTGAGAGCCACCTCCGGAACCCCCGCTGCCTTCCACAGCAGCTGTGGCAGCTGCCACAGCGGCAGCCGCGGCGGCCCTCGAGTGAGCGAGCCTCTCCCGCTCCCGGGCCCGGGCCTGGGCTGCGTAACCATAAGGCATGTGACTGTTACACCCTGAGCTCTCTGCACTCACCATTGCAACCTCCATGGTGGTGGTTTTTGGAAATGGCTGGTTCCAGTTGTAGAAGAAGAAGAAAGAAAAATAGGGCAGCTTCTTTTCTCACCAAATTAAGGTAAGTTTGGAACCCTTAAGCAGATTGCTTGGAAGACTAAGGATATTTTCAGTCCAACTTTGCATTTTCTGTTTTTAAATCAGTACGCCCCATGCTCTCTGTTCCCAGGGATTCAACATTGCTCTCCAGAGCTTGGCTGGTCTAGATAAACAACCTAGCACTCTCAAGCCCAAGTCAAAAAATGCTGGGGTCTCCCAAACACCTGTTTTCGGGTGGCTGTTTGAATTTGGAAATACGTCTAGGATGTGGTTGGTGGTGATGCCGCAAGATTCAAAGGCGACAAGTATCTGACAGCCAGCAGTTGTGCCTAGAAAATGGAATATATTTTTCTGCCATGGAAATTGTCCAAAGCTCAGTCCATCAGATTTAAATAAAATGCAAATAAGCCTTTAGTCTTAGCACTTGCCTTCTAGTGACGGCTTGACCCATGTTAACGCGTGGCTCGAAGTACGTCTAGCCATGGCTGCTCAAAGCCTATCAGGGTGATTCTCCAGGTGCTCCCCTCAAGTTCATCACAGGCTTCCTGGACCCAGGGCCAATGCCAAGCTATCGACAGGGGCAAAGACCTTGGGAGGTAGAGAAGTTACAAGATGAGGTGTCAGCAGGGGCAAACCCAGCTCTGAGGTCTCCATAGAAATCAAGGAAATGCAGAGCATCCTTCAGCTAAAATCATGCAGAGGAAGCACTTCACCTGAAAAAGGAAAGGAAACAAGCATAGGAGAAAAATAAAAGGAATCAAATCATAAAGAGCAAACAGTGTTTCCGTCCCATACACCTTCTTTCTCTTGTCCTCAAGCAAACCACATAAAGCACCAAGTGACCACAAATTTCCAAGGAGTGTGAGGCAGGTGGTTAAATCTCCTCACTAAATCATCCTTCTGTCCTTCTTCTTCGGTTATTATTTCAGCTCAGTCTATTTTCATGGCAACTCAGTTATTTTTCCTCTCTCCACTCTCGACCCACATGGCTCTTCCTTCGGCTCTCCCTTTCACTCATGCCAGGTCTTAATTCTCGGTGTCACTTTCTTCATTCCACAATAATAATGCTGTCACTTTACAGCTGCTTCCATCTTTCATTGATCTCAAGGCATTTTTTTTTTTTTAATTTCCACTCATCAGATATTTCTGAATTTAGTGCCTTTCCACCCCTCTCTGTCTTGATTCAGGATCAGAGCAGTTGGAAAAACCAGTTTTTTTTTTTTTTAAATCCAGTCTCCACCACTTCAACAAGCTTCAATCACCTCATCTACAAAGTGTAGGTAATAATACAACCTCCCCCATCCCCATCCCGATTACTGAGGACCAGAACGAGGCTCTGAATGTTAACAGAATAACACAAACGTAACGAATGTCAATAAATGCTGGCAGTTCTGAATAACGTTGACTGTAACCTAAGATTTTATTGTCAATCTACTCACGCCCAAATGTATATGTCCTTAAACCACAGTCTCAGTTACGGGGAGGACAGAATGTGAGGACATCTAGGACACTTTGAGACACACCAATGGCCTATATTAGGTTGGCACCTCCTGACTCCCTAAAGCATGTCCTTGTTGTTGTTTTTCTGTTCCCCAGACTCCAGAACACTCCCTACCACCCACAGCCTAGGAGCTAATCCCAGTTTCCACTTCTCTGATAATCATCTTTTCTCCTTGCGGTTCCTCCATGTTCCCCTCAATGCTTCCTCCTACACTCCTCTCAAGGGAATATTTCCTTATATATTAAATCCCAGTTTGTGTGGATTTTATTTTCAGCCTCTCATACCCCCCCCCATAATATAATCCATTATCTCCAGTCTCCCAAACCCCGCTGCCTCCCCTGCCTCTCTCTGCCCACTTTTAGTTCCAATCTGCCACTTGCTGATCACTTCTTCCTTGGAGCCCGGATCTGTCTCCGCTGTCACTTGGTATTCCTGGCCTTTCTTCTTAGTTGGCTCTCTCTAGGTCCAACTAATTCATCTCCTCAGCCAGGACCTAAAAGAACTGCCCTAATCTTCTGTCTCCTGTGCTTTTGCATTCACTCTGTCCAACAGGACTTCCAAGAATGCAGAGTAGCCCAGAGAATTGGGGAGGATAATGACAGTCAGAATTCAGGGCATCTACCAGTTTCTATTACTGGAAGCACTTGGGGAGCACAAGAGAAATGGCTTTCTGGAGCCATTAAAGGGATTCAGCCCTTGACCACCTGCTGCTGCTCCTTGCTGAATCCTGTCAGCCTAGAAGGCTAAACCCACCCAAGTTTTATGAAGTGACAAAGCAGGGAAGTGGTAAACAGAGCACTTTCCAGTTATCATCACACGTTCTCCTAAGGCAAGAGGTGAGCTTGATTAGGACACAAAATACACCTCTGAAGGTATCTCAAATGACAAGCCCCTTCCTTTGCCTGACTCCTAATGACAGGAAATACATTGAAACGTTTACCTTCAGGATGTCTCCAAATCTCTATTTATCAAACCACCCTGGGGTTACATTTATTCTAGAAGGTCAGGCCACCACCACCTTTAAAAGACTTTCACAGGCCGAAGAGCCTGAGAGTTTGCCCAGTTTCTTCCCCCAATTCCCTCAAAGCAGCTAGAATACACTATTTAAATAAAACCCTAGAACCAAAGTATCTGTATTTTTGTATACTATGCACACCCCTCTCCCAACTAAGTGCTCCCAGAAGGTCACGAATTAGCAGGTCTTCTAATTCACCATCAACTCTGCAGGAGATGGAGACCTGCCTTCACTTCTCTCTGCGCCAATTATTTATTTATTTATTTATTTATTTATTTATTTGGGTTTGGTCATTTTTGTTTATCTCCCTCCCCCACCTTACAAAAAGCAGATTACCTTCCTTTTAATTGGCTACCAGTTACCTCACTATCCCCAACCAAGAAGAAGATGATGATGATGATGAAGTAGAAGAGGAGGAGGAGGTGGTGGAGGGAGCAGGGGGGAGAAGAAAGAAAAGAATAAGAAAAAAAGGAAAGAGAAGGAAAAACCTTCCACACAGCAAGACTGGCTTAAAAATCTCTCTTCCTACCCTAGGTATTCATGCTTAGGGGAATCTGTTCAAGCCTGGAAGTACTAGGAGCCTTGATGGGGGAGACCTTTGCATAGAAATTTCCCTTCCTCTTTAACACCATTAAACTAATCGGATTTTGCAGACTACCTATTCCCCCAATCCTTGTGCCCCCCAAACAACAGCCAACCTGCCAACCCTGCCTTCCTCCCCTGCCCCCCAACAACAAGGCTGTTTTCATCCCTCAGTGCTAATTCCTGCAACTGTCTTAGGGTGGTACCTGCACCTATCAGAGAGAGAAAGAGAGAGATTGAAAAAAATCAAAAAGCCAACACCGTGAGAAATGGACACTTCAATGCACGCCATTTACACAGTCCCTATGTTCTACTGAAATGCTCGGAAAATGCACGCAAATCCAAATGCTGGGAGAGGCAGCAATTCAAACCCGTTCGCCAGCTGTTCCCAAAGGAACGGAACCGGTGAGTCTGGGATGAGGCAAAACGATGCTAAATCTGAACCCCATGTCGTTGGAAAACGACATCTTTAATCGCACCCTCCCCTCCAGACCTAGGTTCCCGCTCGGGCACATTAAGCAGGGCGCACGCACCCCATCCCTGGGGTTAGGAAAATAACAACTGTTGGCCCCCCGGAGCGCCGCGCAGCATCTGCACATCCCTTCTTCCACCTCCTGGTTTATTTTTAACCGCCTTCCATTCATGCCCTTCTGTCACATTCCCGATATTATTTATCCCTCAAATGTCCACTGTTTCTTAACAACCAAAAGAGGACAGTGGGGAAAAGGTAAGAGAGGTATCATACTTACCGTTCCCGGGCGGAGTGAAAAATAAATATAAAGAAAATCCCCCGCTCGGTTTGTCTTTCCCCCTCAAGCTGCAACAGCTGGAGGAGGGGAAGAATGTTCTTGGGGGGTAGAAGGAATCACTCCGGTGTGGCAGGTGGAAGCTCCAAAATATCCACGAAACAAGTTCTGTTGCCTGGCCGGGGGGCACAGAGTCCTCGCTGCTGGAGCCAGGGGTGGGGAGCAGGGCTACCCCGGGGAAGACCCCAAGACTTCTGGTTCCTCTGGAGTTCAGCAGAGGAGGGCTCAATCGGAAAAGGAAGTCAAGGTTCCCCCAGAAAAAGAAACAAAATCCTAGACAGCAGCGATCACTTGTTAAGCCCGAATGCCTCCTCCAATATCCATCCCTCTCCCTCTCTCGCTGGCTGCAGAAGCAGCACACGCCTCCCCTGGCCGGGAGCGCGCGCCGGCCGGGGGCGGGGCCAGGGCTGTGCCGAGGGTGTGGCGAGCGGGCTGTAGCCTGGGGCACCTCCCCGCGCCGCGAGGCGGGCACAGTCACGACGCCGCCACTGCCCGCCCCCCTGGCCGACCCCCCGACGCTGGGGAGCAACAGGGAACGATTCGGGGAGCCTCTGGCCGCCGTCCCCAGAGGCGAAGCCCTAATTCCGGAGGAAGAGGCGTCCCGGTTGGCGCTGAAATGGGGTCCGCACCGCAGAGCGGGAGCTCAAGAGAGAGGTTGGCAGGGAAGACCTCGACGGAAGGTCCAGTCTCGCCAACAGGGTGCTTCTGCGCGTCTCTCCCTGACCCGCTTTCTCTACAGCTCAGCGCGCGCGCGCGCGCACACACATACAGACACACACGCGCGCGCGCGCGCACACACACACACACACACACACACACACACTCTCTCTCTCTCTCTCTCTCTCTCTCTCTCTCTCTCTCTCTCTCTCACAGCCCCGCTTAACGGGTTTGTAGGGTTGGGAGCCTGGGTGCATCTCTGGCGAGGCTGCTAATTGGGAGCCCCCCAGTCTCCTACGAACGGGCCGATTCCCCTTGGTCTCCGCCTCCCTTGTACAATTTGTCCGCCTCCACTCAGGGGTCGGGCCTCTGGGCGCAGAGGAGGCCGACTTTCAAAGTGTGCTGGATTCGGGTGAGGAGCGGGCTGCAGAAATGGGAATCAGGCCCAAGTTAGGGGTTGCGCATGGGAGGCACAAGTGCAAGAGGGAGAGAGCCCGAGGACTCTGAGCAGGTTATAAGTCCCGCCCGGGGCCGGAGGATTTTAGAAGGGGTGAAGGAGCCCTCCCCGAACCTGTTGCTGCAAGAATACAACTCAGCTAGGGGTCTGACTCCAGGGAGGTCTTTATCATAAGAGTCGGATCTCTAATACCACGCACCCCCTTCAAATAGCAAAA